TTACATAGGGTGCACTTCAGTCTCTTTTATCATTTCACCTTAGTTAATGTAAATTGTATCAGTTACATGACTACTACTATTGAAACAGAAGATAAGATCAGAGATAAAATTAAAGAATTAGACTTTTGAATCAGCGAGCAAGATTTTTTTTTGGTCAAGGTGCCACAAACATCTGAAAGAATAAGCAAAGTTTTTTTCCAGCTTTGAGAGCAGAATGTTCAGACTTACCCCTGTATTACATTGTAAGAACAGCACACAGGCATGAAAAGCCAGCTAAACCTAAGCCATCTATCACACATCTTTTACCTGGTCCTCTGGTGATGTAGCCACTTTCTCCATTTCTCCTTTGCCAGTTTCCCTCTGGCTAAACTAAGCTCTGCCCTCTCCAGGGTAACAGAAGTCAAAAATAAAATTGTCAGTTTGGACAAAAGAATTCAATGAAAATAATTCACTTCCTCATCATGTTCCTTCTTAAAATGTTGGTGAAAAATGGTATTGTTTTTTGATCAGCTGTAGACTAGAGCCTTATTTAAAGGGCCAGTGCACCCTGTTACAGCATCTAATTACAATTTTCAACATAGGGCACCTAACAAAAAGATTTTTCTAGGTCTGAAGGTCTAAACTTGAGAGCATGGTCTGGCCCTAAACAGGGGCACAGGAAACAGATCTTATTTTCAGCATCCGCACACCATGATGCCATGTCTTAGTGGGGCAACTAAATGAGTTCACGGATACTCACATAGATTCTATTTTTATTTCTATTAAAGCTGTCTTATTAGGTATGGGTTCTCAATAAGGGAGAAAAAAATGTTACTATGGAGAAAATGTATCTGGTCTGCTAGATGAGGCTAGTTTTCTGAAAGACTACATTAAGCCATTTCAGGCTCCCAATAGTTGTGTGTAATACCCTAATAAATAAAATGAATCAAATAGCATGGCTTCTCCCATATGCACATCTACAGTAATGGCACATATACTAAATATTGGCTTTAAACTGGACCTGACTGACTAGATTGTTGGCTGTTCAGCAGTTAAAGCATTCTGGGTATGTTTACATGTAGCTTTGCTAACATGTCTAATTTGGTCAGTTTTCAACCAACTTAAATGGCTTGTGTAATACATTGGAAATTTAGGCCAGTCTTTGGGTGTGATGTGGAATAGTGACACATTCCATCTTGCTTCAAATGAGATTGTAATCTCTTTGGGTCAGGGGCCATCTCTTCCTGTGTGTTTATACAGTGTCTATCACAATGAGGCCTCAATCCTTGATGATACATTTGCATGCTACTGCAGTGCAAGTAGTAAATCATAGTGCTTGAAAACCCACTGAGAGTAGTGCTAATAAATTCATTTCAGCATCTGAAAATCAGGCTCCATTGACTCTTTTTGGTTTGAAGGAGTAATACTTTTTTTCCATATATGGAGACACTTTAAAACAGACAGTAGTTTTTTAGGGAGGTCAGATTCGGTTCCTGACAGTCTTGTCAGTGTCCCTTTAAGGTGATGCTCTGTCATTGGAGTTTGACCTGGTACCCCTTATCGCTTAAAGTGTTTGTTCCATTGCTTTTGTAGGTTTGAGTCATAAATTTAAAGTTCTTAGTCTTTATCTGGCAAATTTCCTTATTAATAGAAGTTAGTTCATTGTATAAATCTATAATAAACAAATTTGTACTGGCTCCAATGTAAGTCCAGGGATAAACCTCGTGAATTCTTAGTGATGGGATCCAATAAAAATATAACTTAATGGAAAATTCTCGCATATGGTACCAATACAAATATAGTCAACACAGTAGATACTGTGAAATATTTGTCTGCCCCCCCCCCTCAAAAAAAGTTCTATTATATAAGCTATAAATGCTCCTTGAATTGTTCATGGTTTTAATGTGGTTTTGAAGTGAAGCATATCTTACAAATACTTTTTGCATAAAACCACAAATGTCCTATATGGCAGTTACACTTAAGAGCTAATCCACTCACTGCTGGGGGCATCTATATACTTAGCAATAAATAGACTGCAGAACAATGTAAGTTTATGGGAACTCTTGATGCATCAATATCTTCAGTAAATTTGCACAGAACCAGGAAGCTTAAAGAGAATAGTATGGAAAAGTACATCCTCCTTTTGTACATTTCCAGGCATCTTTAAATTAATATACAGAAGTAAAAATAAGGCCAGACTAATGAAAAAAGAGCTTTAGCTCTAATTAGGTCTCACAAGCCATAGGCTCAAGGCTGGATGAAGGCAACTCAGTGTTTTATGCATAGCATGGAGCTGCTCTCCTGGGGCTCTGTTCTTATGCTATCACTTCAGTGATAATAGAAGGTGATGAGTGCACAGTACATACAAGCAGTAGCACACAGAACTCTTGCAGAGCACTCCCCAGTACAAACTATGCATGACTTCCTGCTGGGCAAGCCCCAGAAGGCTTGACACTGACTCAGTGGTAAGTTAACTCTTTCAGATGAAAGATTGTCCAGATACTAACATGTTTTAACATCCCCTCCATTCCGTCCCCTTAGGGAATGCGTGGCAGAGCTACCTCTAGGGAACTCAAGCCTTCTATGCGCTGCTATTCCTGGTTTTCAGGAGAGTCAGGCTGGGTCTACACTACCCGCCTGAATCGGCGGGTAGAAATCGACCTCTCGGGGATCGATTTATCGCGTCCCATCGGGACGCGACAATCGATCCCCGAATCGACGCTCTTACTCCACCAGGGGAGGTGGGAGTAAGCACCGTCGACGGGAAGCCGCAGAGGTCGATTTTGCCGCCGTCCTCACAGCGGGGTAAGTCGGCTGCGATACGTCGAATTCAGCTACGCTATTCACGTAGCTGAATTTGCGTATCTTAAATCGACTCCCCCCTGTAGTGTAGATGTAGCCTTAGTCTCCACTCCCACAGACGCACAGTCTGTGGGAGTTACTATAGGGCTCTTCCATGGCCATTAAAAGGTGAAAAGGGGGTGAGGCTTAGGAGTGCTGGCAAAAGAGACTTAACTTTCCTAGTCTCATTCACATCAGGGTTATAAACAGTTAATTTCCCAATCAGGTGACAGGATCTTTATCCACTGACTCCAGTGGCTACTCTTACGCTGTTTTTCTTAAAACCTCTGCTTTTAAATCCAGGCTGCATTAGGTCCCAATCCTACACCCACCAATGTCAATAGCAGCACTCCCACTGCCTTCAGTGGGTGTAGGATCAAGCCTTTAGTTACCATCAGTGAAACCTTAGCCCCACTAAAGTCAATGGCAAAACTCCAAGGGACTTCAATGGAGCAAGGATTTCACCCCCATTATTCTAATTGCCTCTCCAGGCCTAAGAGATAAAAATTAGAACATACATTTTAAAAAAAACAAACCTCTTTTAAAAGTTCTGAATTAGTGTTTTCATACATAGTTATGCCGTGCTGCTAAGGTCCGATACCTCTGGAACGTTATCATAGACTTTAAGGTCAGAGGGGACCATTATGATCATCTAGTCTGACCTCCTGCACAACGCAGGCCACAGAATCTCACCCACCTACTCCTCTATCAAACCTATATCTGAGCCATTGAAGTCCTCAAATCATGGTTTAAAGACTTCTGGGACTCCAAGCAAATATTGTGTGTCCCATTGGAAATCTGGCCATCTCCTCTTTCCAAAAGCTTAATGCTCCTCTTTCTATCTATGAAACATTGTGATATATTAAAGCTTAAACCTATCTCTGGTACAAGATTGTACATTGTCTGGGGCCTCAAGCCAGTGTAATTCTGGGGGCAAACTCCACCTTTGGGGGAAAAGGAAACATTTCTCCAGGATTTATTTTTTAGAGGCAGGTGTTGGCAGCTGCTCAGCAGTTTGGAATGTTAGAAGTAGCCCTGGTGAAGATGGAGTAGTGGGCAGTGTGCTGGTGGTGATATATTTAGTGGGCATAGTGCATAGGAGGAGACCATAAGCACCTGACCAATACAATTTATCACATGGCTCTGTAGTTCTTTGCACATTAATGGGCTTGATTCACCCCTGTAGATGCAGAATTTACAATCTCCATTGTCTGTCGAGGCAGCTGCATCCACAGTACCACAGCTACCCTTTCTTGGGGATTATATTTAGAGCAGATCCCATCACTAAGAATGCATGATTGTTATCCTGGGGCTTCTGCTCTGATGTACTGCCCCAGGATCCACAGAAGCTTATTTCATGCTTCTCTGAGGAGCTACCCATACTAGGATAAAAAGTGAATTTAAAAAAAAACATTACCTAACAGGTTTTAAAAGCCTAGTGAAGACAAGGCAAATTGCATTTTAACAGGTGTTAGAAGCACGTGTTCATGCTGATGTGTTAGTATGTCTTTTATCCTGGTGTAGGCTGGCCCTACTATAGACTGACACTACACCCACACCCCAGGATGGCTTTGTCCACTTTCTAAGCTGTGCTTGCCTGCTCTGCCCTCCACAGCACCCACCCGCCTGGTTCCACTGGCTAACCCTAGAAGAGAATCAAGCACAGTGTGTGGCTGTGGGTATGCAGTATAATATGAAGAGGATTTGATCCAATACCCTGGCTCCATTGAGAATCTGAACCAGAATCAAATTTTATAGATGGATCTAGTTCTTTAATGGGCTGAACCAAAACACTGGGCACATACCCCTGAACTCTTTTGGGAGGGATGGTCAGAAACCAGCCTACCTATTTGTCTGGTCCTTTCTGGGGGGCTACTGGGCTTTCCATGTTCTCTCTCAATGTTTCCAGAACCAGGAAGCAGTGCAGGGGGATTACATGGAAACAGATCTACCCTTATTTACACCAAATCAAGTACAACCATAAAGAATGCCCAGGAAGGCAGGGAAGTGTCACCAGCCTGTCAGTCTCCTAGTTTCTCTTTCCCAGTCTCCCCGTGTGTGTGAGTCAGAGTGAGTGCCGAGGGGGAGAGACACACTCTGCCTTTGAATTAGCCAACCGGCTGACCAGGAGTTACCCGCCCCCTTGCCCCCTCCTTCCCCTCCTAGGCTCTGGCACTCGGGAGGCTGCTGGCTGGCGGCCCTTAAGCATTCACCCCCCGCCTCCTTCCCTGTACTGCAATCCCCCTGTCCACACAGCACTGATACAACCAGCGGAGAGCAGGGGCCGCCCAATTCCTGGCGCTTGCAGCCCGGACCCCCTTCTTTCCCAGACAAGCCTGGACAGACAGCACCTCTCCCATCACCGGAACAAAATTACAGCAGTGAGCTAGCAAGGTCATCAAACAAGTCAACTTCATCTTCCTCACCTACGGACACTGACTGCGCGACCCGGCAGTGAGAGGCGAGCCCCTCAAGTTTTGTAAAACCAGATTCTCCCCCCAAGAAAAGAAAAAGCAACTTTCCCCACTCCTCTCTTTGTATGTCCCTTCCCGAGCCCTGATGGAAATTGTTCATGCTCAAGTGGATAGCCTCGCTCAAGTGTATTTGAAGGGAACCAAAGTTGCTTTTCTTTATTCGGCTCTCTCCTTGCAAGTAGTTGCTGTCATTCTTGTTTAGAGGAGAGACAGGCTCTGCCTGGAGAAGGAATATGCACCCTGGGCTTTGTTGTGGAAAACCTGGTTACCTGGTAAGTGGATGCTGCCATAGGAACTTTGCTTGCAGGCGCACGCACACAAAAGTAAACGCTGACCTACCATCAAACCAAGCTAAGAGACTCACGTTAGCAAAAACACCACGGCAGCAGCAGCAATCCTGTGGAGTCTAAACTGTTTTGTATACACACTTTCCCCCTCTCCTTCTCCATGGGGAAGTGTATTTCAGAGGGAAAGGTAGAGTGTGCTTTACTTATCAGCTGAGAGGTGGGCAGAGTACAACTTCCCACAAGGAATCTGAAATGTACCCATGGCTGTATGTATAGTACAACGACAATGTGTAAAAATGAAAGGGGCGGTGGCTGCTTTAATCTGACCATAGATGGGTGTGAGATTTATTTGCAGGAGGAGGCGAAGGGTTAATTGACAAGAGATGAGGCTCCTGAAATCTTACAGGCAAAGCAAAGGCTTGGTAGTTTGTCAACTAGTAACTAGTGTAAACTTTAGACCTAAGGAGGCTTTAGAGAAGAATAAGAACCGGGTGAATGAAAGACGTGAGGAATGCTGTCTCATAAATACTGTGTATGTATATGCAGGCAATTAAGTCTTCATTAGTTATAGTTTATTTTAAGTGTAGTTGTAATATATATTCGTTGTTTTATAGTGTGTGAGTGTGTGTGTGTAAATATACATACTGGAGTTGGGGTATGTACACACACCCAACAATTATAGGTAAGATCCTTCAACGCTCTGTTTTTGTCAGCTCTCCAGCAAACATGCTTTTACATTTTATTCATGCCTCGTGTCAAATATTATTCCCATGTCTCATTCCCACTGTAAGGGACTTTATCCTGGTTCTCAGCTCCAGTCCTCTAAATTATCTGGTGTTTTTCTGCAAACTGCCCAGTCTGCCTTTGGAAAGCATGAGTCTGCAGCAATCTTCTCTCAATGTTTGTTTGTTTGTTTAAATCTTGTGGTGAAATTACTTCGAAGTTACTCACTTAACTGAGAAGTCTGCTGTAGGGAGAGAGAGAGAAATAGCAATGTCTGGAAAGTTGGTACAAGTATTCTCTGACTCCTGGGGATTTATCATCGTGTCGATGATTAAGCCGAGACTTAATACCTTGAGGAGGAAATTTTGAACTCTGGAAAGAAAATGACTGTTTGATGCTCTCCCCTGCGTTTGTTTGCGGGCAGAGAATAGAGTAAAGCACTGGGAAGATATTGACACTGCAAGTATCTCATAATTACGCTTTGGCAGCTGACCGGTACCTGTACGATCTCCACATAGATGGTGCATTTAATAGATACACGTTGGCAGGGGTCGGCTAATTTTCTCTAAGCACATGTCAGTTTCTGCTGTACTGAAATGCCGTATTCAGAGCACCGCAGAGAGGACAGTAGATAAGGGACGCTCGCAGCCTGGTTGAGAAGCCCGTGGTGGCCCCAGCGGTGAGAAATCCACCTGAGCGGTCGTGTCAGTTTACCAGGGCGCCTTTCCTCCTTTAAACCAGGAGCGCGTTCAAGGCTGAGCCCAGGTAGCTGGTGCGCTCGCTCGGTAGCCAGTGCTGCTGCTAGGGGGCCGCGGGTGGGGAGCTGACCACAGGCAGCGTGGCTGCAGATCTGCTTCTACCCTCCCCGCTGCAGTCTCGGGAGCTTGGGATAGTCCCCGTGCCCAGCCATTAGCCGAGGGCACTGCCCTTCCCCTCCAGCAGGGGACAGTGAGAGCCAGGGGGTTCCTGTCCCCCTCCAGCAGGGAGGAGTGGGAGCTGGGGAAGGGTCTCACTGCAGCCAGGGTTGGTGCTGGTATTTCAGCTGCAAACCCGAGCCAAGGGGTGAACAGCTTCAGTGGGCACCCCATTGCACCAATGCTTTTAGGAAAGGAAGGGGGCTGCAGCTGGTCAAAATAGATGGACAGGTTTATTTGGGAGCTTTTGTGAATGCTCTCCTGAAAAAATGTTGTCAAAATCATGAACAGCTTCTCCCAGCTCTCCTTAGAGCCAAGTTCTGCCCCTTCCACACTGTGGTTTCTCTCCAGATGGTAGAAATCTTCCCCTTTAAAAACAAAACAAAACAACAACTCTGTGTTTTCTGTAGTCCAGATGCAACCACAAGTGTCACTCACATCAAAGAAATGCCACAGAGCCGTTTAATGCTCACCAAAGTGACAGCTTAATCTTCAGGCCTTTTTGTGTCACTGGTACTTTCTGTTTGTTAAACTTTGCTAAGTTGTCATTTCTGTTCCAGACTTCAACTGGATATTTTTTTCCTTCTCCTCTGAGACACTAAGATAGTTTCTGACCTTGTTGGAAACTGTTAACTCTTTAATTAAAAGCTTTGGAAAGAGAACGTGAGAGAGGCTGTATCTCCACTGCTGTTTTTCTTAATATTTCTCACCATTGCATTAGCTACAGTGGGAGATCCAGTGTAGAGGGGGTGCCAATGGTGCCTGTGAGTCTATCACCCTGTCATCTAAGCCTGTTCTGAGTAGGGTAGATAACATGGGTGGCAAAAACATGCACAGCTGCTGCTGTCCTTTCTGCACTGGAGTTCACCATAGCTAGCTCGGGTGGTTGGCAATGGAAGACTGGGGTGGGGGGGCGGTAGTGGAGACAAGCTAATGGGACTGTGAATGGGGAGTATAGACTTTTCACATGAGTATGGATTTGCAAGACTGGGCTTGGGGTTGTTGACTTCTCCACATCACAGATCCACAGTCTGCTCACTACAAGTGTGTTTGGAATTAGGGGTCTGACATAGTTCTGCTTAAAACTGACTTGATAAGTTTTCAAACGTGGCTGTAATTAGCACAATGTGTGTTCTCATGTGAAAAGGGCTTTAGAGAATAATGCCCTCTGTGGGTTCATGTACTTTCTTCAGTACTTTGTTTTATTTCTTGTAATGATTATATCTGTTTAGATGGAGTTTGAAAGTTAAGAGGCCAGATTTTATTCAGGCACCTCAGCGTAAATTTACTCCAGGGATAGACTCTGAGTTATTTCAGATTCATATTAGTGTGAATGAAAGAATTCTGCTCTGGGAGATTTAAAATCATTTTTATTCAAATTAATACTTAAATGAATTAACATGGTTTAAAAGTCACTTGTTGTAATGGGTAAGTTACAGCCATTTAAGGAAGAAAAATGTGGATTTCAGTCTTTAATAGTGACTTAATAGCAATACCATTGTGTGATCCTTGAACTAGAGCCAGATAACCCTAGAAAGGGCTTTATCCTGACCTCCAATTCACAACACACATCCTCATATATTAAGGAAAATCAGCTTCTAAGTTTGGGCCTACTCTAGGCTAAATCTTGTCCCCAGCAGCATCTGTGACACAGAAACTGCAGGAGCCCGCAAGGCCCACTTGGATTCTGCAGCTTCTGATGCTTCAGAGGAAGAAACCAAAAATTGGAGGCAGACACGTAGCACTTAGTGGCATCCAATCCCTCTCCTCAGGGTGAGTCCAGGATTTTACCCAAGTGACTCATCAGGCCTTGGAGATGATGTGAAGGAGGGTACTGACTTTTCACCATTTCAATGGGGGTAATGTGTATGGGTTTCTGACTGACTGATGGCTGTGAAAGACTGATTGAGGCCATATTATCTGAATACCTCTTATGGCTGACAACTTTAAACTAAAATGGACAGTCAAGAAGCAAACAGGGAAACCTGTAGGGTGAAGAACAGTGTTATTGTCAGAGGGGAAGCTTTGCCTACCAATTTGAGTGGCCATCATGACAGCCCCGTTCCCTTCCAACACCCCCTTACCCAAACATAATTGAGTGGTGGTGTTTTTTTAAAGACCTGTGCAGAAAAGATAGTAGGGAGAGAGTCTGGAGGAAGGCTGGTTTGTAAGTGGTGATGAGGAGCTTAGGGAAGGGATGCTGGAAGGCTGCATTCCTACAAGGGCAGAGGTTTATGGTTGTGGTGTGTTATCTGAGGCATATGCTGGTTTTGCCAGTAGTGAGGTGTGTGTCTCTGGGTGGAGGAGTAGATAATAAGGACTGTTTGATGCCTTCACTTTCAGTCTTCTTGCTTTTGTGGCTTTGTGTTAGGTAATGTTATGTGCAGAGCAATATAAACTCACACATCATGTAGTGGTTTTGTATCTTAATACTTTTGTCAAGAAATCTTTGGTTAATAATACTTATTATCCTAGTTTGTTGAGATGCAATGCAAAAAATGCATAACATAAGATTAAAAGTTTGAATATCTCCAGAGAGAAGACACTTCAGAAAAAATCAGTCTTTTTTCTGAGTATCTTCCAAACAATGTTTCAAGTACTCAAACAAAACTACTATTGACTTTGTTGGGAATTTTTTCCTTAATAGGGATTATAGGATGAAATTGTACAGGTGAGATTTTCAGACCCTCAGCATTGGTCTAACTCTACTTCTGTTGAAGTCAATGAGTTTTATCTTCCCAGAGGACTATCCTCAATGTATTTATACTGCGTATGCATACCGTAGTAGGGGCACAGATATTTGTGAATTCATCTTTTGTTTCTCTTTATGAAGGAATTGATTCCGTTTTTCCAGTCCCGCAGCTTGAATTTAACTCATACTATGTGGTTTAGTGAGAGAGTAGACTCATGAGTCAGACATGTGCATTTTGAGTAACTGTTGTCATGTTGTTAGTAACAATGATGTCAGCTAAATAAAATACAGTTTTAAAAATAGTGAGCCTAATCATGCTTCTGCAGACATCAGTGGGAGGAAGAATAGACCCAAGAATGGACTTTACCCATTTTTAAATGTTATTTTCAAACTATAAACAAAATAAAATGCTCATGTTTATATCACATATCTGATGATGTTACAGTAAAGCAAAATCTGGCCAATAAATTAATACAATCTCAGGACAGTTTTCATTTTATTGGTAATATTTTTGTGTTTCTAAATTCTGAACTGGTAAGTTGATTGAAGCTATTACATTTGATACATTTGTATTTACATGTTTCAGTTATAATTTTGTATTCCATGATTTCTTTTATGCAGTATACTTACATTTTCCATGATTAATATGGTTAGAA